AAACTCTTTGTCCAACTTCCCCATGCATCTCAATCGCTGTGCTTTGCCCAAGTGACATACCAGCGCTATGAGACACAGCACAGATACAGCCAGATTTGTCCCCAGACTGGATGCTGGAGATGGTTAAGTAGCAGTCAGCTCCAGAGCTGAAGCCTGAGAAGCGATCAGGGATCCTGTCCCCCTTGCCATGGCTTCCATCGCTGTTAACACATACGCCAAAGGGCCTTCTCTGGCAGCAGCTGCTGTTGCCACGCAGTGGTGTGGCTGCTGTGCAGGCTGCTCGGGGTACAGGTGAGCTTGGCCGAGGCTCCTGGGAAGGCAGATGCAGAGGGCAGCCAAGTCAGCACAGGCTGGGAGAGGGATCCTGCAAACACAGACACCCATTACATCCTGGAGGAGGGACAAGAGGGAAGGACACTCCTGGCATGAGTTTGGGAGGTGGTGTCAGTGAGCTGGGGGGGGGGGGGTTCAGGATGCTGAGGACCCTCCTGACCTGTGCAGTGAAGGAAAAGGGTGAGGAGGAGGAGTGGGGCCCAAGGCATGGTGCAGACACCCCAGAGCTCTGCTGAGGCAGATAGGCTGCAGGTCTCTCTTATCCACCCTCCAGCCCCAGAGGAGACAGGGGCCCTGCATGCAAATGTGCTCCTTTTCCCCTGCCCAACCAACCCCTCCCTGGGCCTGTGTGCGGCCCCAGTGGCTGGGTGTCATTTCTGGGAGGGATGGGCCTGGCCTGGGCCCATGACGCATGATATGATAGCTGATGAATCCATGTAATCATTCCATTTCTGGCTATAATTATAAATAATTATTTCTGAAAATTGTAAATACTCTTTATTAAAAGATTTTATGCCTAGGTAATTTTGGAAACATACTTTCAATAAACTAAATATCCATTTTTATAAAGAAATCACCATTCATCTATTCAACTGTTTATTCATACATTCAACAAATACTTATTGAGCACACATGTCAATGACACTGTTGATGCAGGGAAACGTGGTTTTTATACTCTAGAATTTTATAATCCAAAAATAATAATCTGCAATAGATTGTGAATAGTTTGCTTTTCTATTGGACATAAGTGAAATCCTTCACTTCTCCCAGAATCTAACCAACTATAAAGTTGACACAGCTAATATGTTAGAGTACCTTACAAAATCATAGTTCTCCATGATGCTACTGTGGCATGATCGTGGATGATCTAATCTTCTTGTTTAGCTGTATTTTTCAATCCTTATATAATATTTATGTAGTATATATTAGTACTTTTTAAGGATTTTTAGATTATATTCACATGGCATTTATTAATCACCACATCAAGGTACTTTTCTTCATCCTTGCCTTCTCATATTGGCAGCACGTGCAGAGCCTGCAGGTGGGTGCTCAGGAAGTCGTTCTCTGCATCGGCTTCAACAGGTACCTCTCCATGCTCCCGGGGGCGAGGACCCTCCCAGCCGCCCGAGCCCGCGGCAACGCAGATCCGGGGGTCAGATGCAGGCGGAGGCCAAGCCTGGCAGTCCACCGATGGCAGTGGTGGCACAGGGGCGGGAATCGGCCGCTCAGTCCCATCCCCGTGGCTGCTCAGTGCACAGCGCCGGCGGCCCCTCTTCCCTCTCCAGGGCGCCAGAGCTGCAGCCGCGACCTACCTCCCACGCGGGCGCCGGCAGCCC